TAAACTGGAATGGCCCATTGCAGTGTTTTGTTTATTCTGTACTTGACAATGTGTGCATTCTACTCTTTTTAGGGTGGTGTAAATAAGATGTACCATGGCATATTAGACTATTCGCCCGACCAACCACGTGTTCATTTGGAAATGGAAGCAGGAGACACTGTGTTCTTCCATCCTTTGCTGATCCATGGATCTGGAATGAATCGTACTGATGGTTTCAGAAAGGTGTAAACATAATTTGTTTAAAACTGAAAGATGGACGAGAACATGTATTTGTAGTATTTACATTTGACACTGTTTATATTTATAGATATACGTACAATAACAATCACTAAGCGTGTGTATTAAGCGGTTTAATTATTCACCTAGCAAATAATATGTTGTTATATGCTATTGCAAATGCAAGAGAAGATAGGTGGTACAGGTTACAGGGAATAAAAAGGCATTTTATGTTTTCACAGGAAATAAAATGAAAGTTCTATTTACAGTATAAAATAAGTTTTTACACTTTACAGATAAAACAAATTCCTAATTACATTTTTATAATATATTTGATAATTTGTGTTTAAGAATCAAAATTGTAAATTGCGTAAGAATTACGAAATTTAATGTGGAAAATGTTTTATACGCTTACAAAGAATAAAGTCTTTATACAAATTAAGGATGAATAAAATAACTGATAATTGATGATAAATCTTACTTCGATTTGGTCAACAGTATGGAGTATCAAACAGCAATATCAAAAAAATGTATGTTTTCATGCATATTTCGTTTTTGAATAATGTGAATGAAACTATTTATCAAATACAAATATGTTTTCAAATTGCAAATGTCTCAACAGAGGAAAAATAAATCTCATTTCTCCATTCACTGTAGTCAGCAGTATTGACTCTCGTACTTTCCTCTGAAAAGCTTGTACAATATATTCCTTATAAATTTGATTTCCAACTGCAATTGTAAATGATTACCACATAACGAACACATTCATTGGTTTCTTACAGTCCATCTCCTGTCACTATGCCAGTTCAGATTGCCAGTATATCGATACATCTGGTTCTATTCAGGACTTTATTTCCGATGAAATGACAAGCTTAGTTAATGACAGAATGAAGAAGAGAGGAATTAAGGACTATAAAATCACGTTTGCAGTAAGTTTATGAACATTTATATTGCGGATGGTCATCAATAATAAATTAATATTCGACACAAGCAACTTACAATTAATTAAAACAGTTCCTACATGTGCACACACACACACACGCACACACACACACATACACACACATACACACACACACACACACACACACGCACACACACACCCACCCACACACACATACATACATACATACATACACATGCACACTTACAGATCCGCTTTCCTTAGGACAATATCTCCAAGGATTTCAAATAACTGTTCGTTTTTGTTCTTTTAACTTACAAAAGGACATATGGAGAATGAAAGGTCGCCTTGTGCATGGAAGAGAAGGAACTCTGACCTAAACCAGCAAGTAACAACGTATCCAAACAAACAAGGAGTCTAGCTTTGAATTTCTAAAATTAAAGTGTATATACGAGTTCATTAAATCTAAAATCTACTGTAGCCAGTATGCCTGAAAACAATACTATTTGCAATATTCGTAGATATGTATGTTATACTTGCAGACCAAATCATCGCAGATAATCTCAAATCTTTTAGTATTAAAAGAACAACGCAATGCAGTTGTGGATATGAACAATGTAAACTAATTGTTATTCACAATGTATATAATGTCATTTACACTTAAATTTCAACAAATTTAATGCATATTTGGATGATGTATATTGTGCAATATGGTAAATGTACTATGTATTTCATCATATGCTTACAGGGAATACAGCGTACAGATCTAATACAAGTAAAAAAACATGAATTGATAGTGGAGAATAATTCACCCATATGTACACATTCACGGGGCTGTGTAGTGCAGTGCACACACACATACACACATTTCCTTTATTGAAATGAATGATATTCTTGGATATGTATGTAATTTTTGCACACCAAATGCATTGAATGTAAGGGTGATATAATTATTGGAAATGTACTTTATTGTAATAAAACAATGTTTAACGATCACTATCAATGTGTACATCTTAATTAATTGTTATTCATTATGATATAGCAGGTATGTTGTATCCACTTTTGAACGTTTTCGTTTCGGTCATTATAATATTTTACTGGTAGATCCATTTGAATGAAACTTTTCTCCTTACTAAACTACAAATGTAGAGTACGCTAGAATATTTGTTCATAAAAACGACTGTTTTTACATTCATTATTTGGTTCTTATTTGTATGATTGACAATTACTACTGTTTATATGCTACAGAAATGACATCACTTATGTATGTGATGTAATCAATCAACAGATAAATCATGTGACTCGACAAATAACTCCTAGCCTAGTTCATGTGGATGGAAATATCAAAGTGTCCTTCGAAGGAATCTATATTGGTACCTGCACTTAAAGTACTAACTACTAATTAAATAAAAACAAACGACGACGTTTAATTATACATGTATACCCCAGGTACATCCAGGTATTTTCTATATGGTTTACCGTTTCGATTACCGGCACCTATATTTACTGATTTCCACACCCCAGCCTATCAGACAAATAAGCAAGAAATACTCTCATGATCCAAATTCGCATTTAAAGTAGCTATTTCATGGAGCAATGTATTAATCAAGTAGTCTAGAAAATGAAATGAATGCCGTGAAACAATTTGTTTCGAATATGTTCAATGTTAACAGTCATTTCTCATTATAAAACTTCATGAGCAAACTAAAAACTAAACTTTTATGCTATTTTAGCTTAATTCAAATTATGATTCAATACACTCTGGAGACCTCACTTAAATCAAAACAATGTGTTTTATGGTGCAGTGGGAGGTATGGCCCATTGAAGAACAGCCTCAAAGCTGTTTTCAAAAAATTGCCAAAAAATCAATATTTTTGTCATTAAAGTCTGAATATTTCAAATAATATTGAAACAATGTCGCATTGATAATTCATATTCTATTGAGACCTTTTTTTGGATATATCACATGTTGATATTTGTCTGTGATTTGGTCATTATATACGATTTTGATTTCAAAACATGTTATGATCGTTGGCATATTTTTTCTTGTTTGGCACAAAAAACCGAGGGTTGTATGGGTGCTTGGTATACCCTTCCAACCCATGGACAGCCGTTCTTGTCCTGTTATCGTACACTGATGGGTATAAATATATTAATGTTGACCGTTAAATTTTGTGGTACAGTAATGTGTTGGAATTATTTTATTATTATTCAATGTATAGAAGATGATGATGACTTCCGTAGTATTTGCATGTCAATGTGGTGGTTGGTATATAGTATTTTTTCTTGTCATGTTTCTTCTACTAAGAACATATTTAAAGCAATCAGCACGGAGGAAATAAATCTTCGCTCGGATTGATAGCCATGAGGGTCGTGGC